TAAGAAAAATAATTTCTGAAAAAAAAAAATCGAGTTAAATCATCGATTATGGAGCGGAAAGAGGAGGTGTCTTGTTCACAAGTAATAAATGATCGTGTTTGTATTTCTTACAGAACTGGGAACAGATAACCTTTATTTATATATAGACAATAAAAAAGGTTGATTCATGTTTCACTTAAATTTTCGTAGAAAATGCCGAAAACGTACACCACTGTCTAGGTTTATAAACCTTATAAACTTAGTTTGTCAACATAATTAATTTTTCCTTATCTATAATTCCTTGTAAATTATAATAAAAGTAAACCCGATTTTACTTGAAAACACTGATGTCAATATTCCGATCAGCATGATAAATGTATATTTAAGATAAATGTATATATATATATATATAATTAATAAGTGTAAATAAGAACTTTTCCATTCCCAGCTGCAGACCTCCAATAAGTAAATGTATGTCGGCAGTGGAAGATTTAGAAGTTTTTAGTCATATATAAAGCACTTCCTGATTCCTCTTTATAAAACATTAGAATCCTTTCTGACATAATTAATTTTGTCAGATAAAAATCTGCAACAATACAGTGACAAGGATAATAAGTTTAAAAAAAAATGTTCAAATGGTGACTTCTACTAGTATACGCCAAGCTTCCCTCCTACCCCCCCCCCCCTTCCCCCTTTACCTGCCCCAATCACTAGCTACAAGATATTTATGAATCCCACACATATATAAATTGAAAACGAATAAAACATACTTAAGAAAGCTGATGATTTTCAATAAAAAGGTTAAAAAAAACGCTTTCTTGAACAGTCAAATAAAGTCAATGTCCACTATGAAGGAGATGCGTGTTTTAATTGGAGGTACATGTATGTAATTAAATGTAAACTAATCGTCTGAACCAGCCCAACTTATGTCGTTTTTTATTTTTTACGCTGTAAATATTGATTCAATATTTATCATAGTTGCAAAGACGGAAGAATTTGTTTCAAGTCCATATTTTCAACATGATTGCTCTTTGTGACGTCATTTTTTCCAATGCAGACGTCATTAATTACATGTTATGTCCCATAATAAATTTCACTGAGAAAGGTTTATATGCCATTGGTTTTCATTTGCATAAATAGTATTAAATTATTTATCAAAAGCAGAATTGAATTTAAAAGACAATAAAAAGAATAATAAAACCTTCAAATACAGAATTAAACAATTTATTTCTTTAAAAGTATAGATTTATTGTGGAGAAAAGTGACGTCTATTCAAAAATGCAGCATTTTCAACTTCATTTTTTGTAAAAACGGGTGTGGCGGCACTTTTGTAAGGTCATTTTTTCTTTTTAATATTAGAAATCGGGTTATATTTATTCGTTCCGTGAAATTTCGCATACATACTCGGATGCGGCCATATCGAAATATAGACTTGAAGAGGATGAAAACATCCAAAATAAGGGAATTCCGGAAAATAAGACCGGTTTTAAACATTATATAAATGAAAGGGCGCTTGAGTTGAGAAAAAATGTTAACCATTTCACACACAGGGAAACCTCAACAGTAACTTGATACATTTGATAAAATGTAAACCTGCGTTTAATTTTTGCCGATTTTACAGGGCCGATTATTGGACTTACCGTACCCAGTTCTTTGTCACAAAGTATCCTTGGCCAAAGGGCTCTCTTTTATACTAAAACAAGGGATGTGACCCTTAAACAAGGGGTGATAACTAGGAAAATAAAACCAAAAGTACTGGTTGCTAAAAAATCTTCTCAAGAACCATTGGGCAGATTATCGCCAAATTTACATACAAGGATGAGGATATGTTGTAGATTAAAAGTTGTTCAAGGCATCACCCTGGGGCAAAGGGCGTGGTCTTGGGGTCACTTCAAAGTTGAAAAATTATGTTTTGTTTGATAAACTTTTATACTTTGCTTACTATAAGGACTAGGATAATGAAATCTTGTCAATTGATGCACCTTAGGACCTCATATCATGTTGACTCAAAAGTAGGTCAGTGACCTACTTTTTAAATTTTGCAGGCATTCGTTTTCAAATTGATCATCAAAAAAGTTTGATCATCAAACTTTGTCAGTTGATGCATCTCTCAAAAGTAGGTCACCTTGGCCTACTTTTTTAAATTTTCCAAAACATTTTAGGTCATTATTTAAGATACTGTGAGGATTAGAATCGTCAAACCTTGTAAGTTGATGCATCTTGGAACCTTAAAACACATTCATTAAAAAATAGGTCACAGTGACCCACTTTTTTAATTCTGTAGACATTTGTTTTCAAATAGTTTCAGAGGCATATTTTGGACACTTTAGGGCCTATGATAATCAAGCTTTGTCAGTTGATGCATCATGCGTCCCATGAGAATGTCAACTGAAAAGTAGGTCACTGTGACCCACTTTTGAAATTTTATGGCTATATTTAAATATTTCAGGTACTAACTGGCTAAGAATCATCAAACTTTGACAGTTGATGTATCTTTGGTCCTCAGACTAAGTGTGTCAAATTTAAAGTGGTCTCTGTGACCTACTTTTAGAATTTTATGGATATATTCAAATATTTAAACACTAATTGGCCTAGAATCATCAGCCTTTGTCAGTTAATGCATTTTGGGTCCTTGAAGTATTTCAATTAAAAAGTAGATCACCATGACCTACCTTTTAAAATTTATTTCTGAATATTTAAGATAATAAAGGGCTTAGAATAATTGAACTTTGTCAATTTAGGAATCTTGGGTTCTCAGAGTATGGTAGCCAAAATGTAGGTCAAATTGACCTACTTTATGAATTTCAAGGCTTTATCTAAATTATATAGGATACTAAGAGGCTTCAAATAGAAGTGATAGGTAGTACAATTTATCAGAAGATCCATTCAAGGTCCTTGGGGCTCTTGTTACATGCAGTTATTTTGACAACTCTACATGCTTAACATTTGTCTCTTTTCTCAGAAAATACAACACAATATATATATATATATATATATATATATATATATATATATATATATATATATATATATATATATATATATATATATATATATGCTTTAACTCTTTTTGCATTTCTTTAAAAGTTCAGTTTCAGATTTTTATAACATATGCAAAGGTAAATAACAGCAAATCCCACCCACCCCCACCAAAAAAGTAAAATATTGTAGTACAAGATGTAAAATGCACATTATCTATAACACAGACAAACAGTACTCTAATTTATTGCTTTCTTGTATCAAGGACCTTTCAAGATATTAAAAACAATACTAAAATGCGAGAATAAGTTTTTTTTTTCATGCTACATAGTATTTGCCCGAGAAACAAAAAAATACTCTATACACATACACAATAAAAAAAGAAACATGAACCACATAGCTCACCAGAGTTACTTTGGTCATGTTTTCCTCAGAATACTTTAAATAAAAAAAAAATTATTTCTTCATTTTTATGAAAACAATTTGCCCCTGTTTTGTTTTTACATTTGGCCAAATGCATTGTGATTAGTCTTGGCCCTAGTGTTCTTCAAAAAAAGATTGTTAAAGATTTTTTTTCTTTTTTCCCCAGCAAAACTTGGATCCCCCATTATGATTCCACCCTAAGGGCCACGATTCAAATATAGTTAATTTTGCACTACCCTGAGGATGCTCAACTAATCAATTCCTATGTCAAACTGACCTCTTATTTTAGCCCCAACATACCCCCTTTGATTTAATGATCAATTTAAAATCTATGCTACATCAAAAAACTTTAAATTCCTGTATATTTCCATGTTAAAGTTAGATCCCTATCTTGGACCTATGCTACCCAGGGTTCTCCACATTTGAAAATTTAACCATGAAGGAAGCTGTGCGAAAGCGAAATGTGATTGAAAGCACGAACATGTGTTAGACTCTCTTAACTTCATTAATCAATGATCAATTGTAGCCTACCCATGGGCGCCACAATTTGAAAAATTCAGAATTCACACTATCCTTTGTCATAAACCTTTCATCTTTTTGGCCAAGATGTTCTTGAGAAGATTTTTAAATAATCCCTTCATCCACCCCATTTTTGCCCTTCTTGATAATCTACTCTTGGAAGGGGGAAACCAGTGGTTCTCAAGAAGAAGTCTAAAATGATTACAGTATATAGACAAACAGATGCTGCACAATGGATGATCAGAAAAGCTCTCTTAAGCTTACAGCTTAATCTGAGAAGATCAAATTCTATCATTTCTATGTAAAACTAATTCAGTGAAGATCTCTTTCTTTACACATCAACATCTGTTAGGCCAAACCAAAAATACTCTCAATACATGAGCGGTGATTCCGCAACTAGTAGAGGTGTCATTTATTGCCAAGCTCTGAAAAAAAAAATTAATTCATTTCAGTGCATATTTCAAAAAGTTTAGAGCAAAAATTGACTAAAAATATTTAAAAAGCGTTTTCTCTTAAAATATTTTGGTCCCCATTAGGGCTGTGTCAATATATCGATTAATCAATACGTATCAATATTCAGGAATGTATCGTATCAAAAAACTAACTTCCAATTTGTATTGGACAGAGAGTTTTTCTTAAAATTCTGTGAAAAAGTTGGGAATTTCAGTCCCCAAAGATTATATTTCACTGTTTTGAATTAAAGCTGATCAATAATGAAATAAACATGAAGGAGATAGCACATCTTAATAACTACTGCAAAATACATAGACAACTATTTTTTCAACATGTTAGTTTTACAGTCATTAAAAATTTGAATTTGAAGTGTACTTTGTAAAGAGAGTGAGACATGAACTTCCAATTTGGTAATAAAACACCCAGTTTTTATCAAATTCATGCATTAAATGATTTACAAAACCTTTTTTAATAGATTTGTTAAAGAATCCAATATATCGCATATTGCATTATGAAATATTGTATCGTATCGTATCGAAATATTTTGGTCAATACACAGCCTAGTCCCCATCTGATTTTAAACTCCAGTTTGAACAAAATGTACCGGTACAAACCTTTGAACTTGAAATTGGTAAACTATACCTGTTTAGCTATTTTATGGGTGTCCTCTTCTGGAATCAGTTGTTGGTACAAATTAGGTTTTAACCAATATTTGGAGTTGACCTTGACCTAAATGGTGCTTTTCGATCTTCGAATAAGAAGAAACAATACATGATTAGCAATACAAATAGAAACTTGTATGATTATCATCTTGTTACTTTATATATGTAAATTAAAAAAATTATGAAATTCAATGCAAGTTGTTAACTTCATTACAAACATTATTTGTTATATCTTCTAAGTTCACAATGTGATTTAAAACCAAGGGCAATGAAAATCAATTCACTATAAGCATCAATTCATTGTAAGCATGTTCACATTAACCGTGTTTTACTGTACTGACCTTTGGACTTGAAACTGGTGCAATAATTCATCATCTTTTATCTCGCAAATCCAATACACAGAGTGGTTTCTTTCAAGCTGACATCAGTCTTGGCCTTTGATCTTTGACCTTGACATTAGAAAACATAAAATATATCTGTATAAGTAATTCCATTATGTATGATTGCTGGTTTCCTTTTCGTTAAAACAAACAGAAAGTATATATAGACAATTATAAATTTGAAATGCTTGTAAATGAAGTGTACCACTTTCAGCTGCACATTCCTAATTCTGCAAAATGGTTTTCCATACTCATAGTCCCCAGTCAGCTGAGCATGCGTCAATCTAAAATACTATTAATATTTAATACATTTTTAATATACATGCATTATAGTCTGTCCCACGACCGGAACGTCACTACTTTTTGTAAGATATCTCAAAATATATAAATACCTTGGCTTTCAACCTAGGTTCGATCAGTAGATTGATTTTTTTCCAAACTTCCTGCATTTATACGAACCCTCGAGATCAACCAGTGTATTGACACGGCGGCAAATTCAAAGTCTACGGGGATTTAACATTGTCAAAATGGCAGCCACTTCGGAAGGGGATCCATCATTATTCGTAATTTTCCGTACATTGCCGTCAGTGAGGTAATGACGTCACGCAAGTTCGGGAATGCTCTGAGCTTATCAACGTCTAAAAAGCTATAAAGCCCGAAACTTGCCTAGTATATATTTAGGCCTATATATAGGAGAAATTACGTCTTCGACAAAACTTTCATACCCAGGGCCAGACAGAAGGGATCAGAGATTTTTAAAAACAGCTAGCCTATACACTGCATAAAGAAAAGAGGTATGACTCAATTCATATAGCCTAAGATTGTAATTATCATATTAAAAACAATCGAGGCAACTGCAAATTTAGCTCAAGTGACATGACTGCTTTATTGCCAAAACGTAGAGATCTAACTTCTAATAAACGTAGTCATATTATTAAGATTATCAAAATTAATTGCTGCTTTACCTTACTCCTTAGCCTTCCACATAAATCCAATTTCCTATAGTTTGTTATAAACACGGTCAAAAGAGGCATCGTATCACTTCTATGTGAACAATTGATGTCCGTAACTGCACAGTATATCCTGTTTTTGTTAGACTTTCAACACTTTAAACACATAAATCCACAATCAATGTTATATTTTGAATCTCGGTGCAAAACAACTATTGTTGTCTGCATCAAACTACGTCACCAATGGAATTTGACCTTGCCCTTCGAAAACTTCCTGTAATATCGGCATTAGGTAAATCCAGGCCCTTGGTTATATTTAATATAACAGAATGCCAAAAATTAAATACTCAATCCTACACAGAAAAACTACATAACACAAGTGTAAAAGATTATACTACTTTTTATTTTAAATTTTACCTTTTCTTTTTTTATCACCTTATTTTTTTTCTTTTGGTAGAAAGTTCAATAGTTTTACATAAAAAAAGAAAAGATTATACATGTATATGTATTGACACTTTCTATACATGTCAGAGCCAGCTGCTAGTTTGATTCTTAAACAAGAATTTAATTGCAGGTTGCAGGATCATGAAACAGACTTTGACTTAAGTCATATTTTCAATTGCCAGTAAAATGTTTATCATTTATTGAGTTAATCTCTAATTTTGCAAATAACAACACTTTTGTAAAACAATATTGTAAAATAGTTTTATTTTGGCCTGCTTGACTTCTACAACATTTCAGTACAACATAAAGATTTTGACTTAAGCTTAAGATGTTTCATGATCCTGGGGCCAGGATACCAAAATAGCTACCCGGTGAAGACACAACATACTTTGAAAATGGTCATTTTTACCCTATAATTCAAGAAGTCTCTCAAGAAATGCAGGCAATTCAAGAAAAAAAATCACCTAAAATTTTAAAAACACCATACTGAATATAGACAAGCACAAACAAACAAGTACATAAAATAAATTCAGCCATAAGTAGCTGCAGATAACATCCTAAGTAATTTTTGCTATATGGACTGTAGATACATGAGCAGTCTGGGCAGCTTAGTTGTTAGAATACCTCATTAGTATACAAGTATTTGCAATGCAGAGGTCCTGGGTTTGATTCCCAGTCAAGCAAAATGTTTTTCCTCATGTATTTGTAAATTTTCAAAGTATGTTTATTCATTATTCCATTCCCTGGTACATATGGCTTCCTGATATACATTTTTTCTAAATTGCATAATACTATGGAATCATTTTAATTTGTGGAGGTCAGTGTTTGTGGGCAGGCATATAGTTTTGCTGTTTTGTGGACAGGACATAAATAAGGTTAACCAAAATACAATCAAAGGAATTAATGGATTGATTAAAATGTTAAAATAAGCATTTGTGGAAATATAAATTTATGGGTATAGCTGATCCATGTGATAAAATCCAAGAATGCTGGTCCTCCACAAACAATGATGATTCCACAGTAGATGTCAATCAGTTTTTGTAAGCTACCTGTCTAAAATGGGCAAAGTAATTAATCAAACTCAGATAACTGTTTTCAAAATTTTATTACTGCTTGTTTAACAGCAAGATACAGGTATATGATTTTTTTAAAATTATCAAATAGAATTGCTTCAAACTTTAAACACATTTAGTGAGATTACAGGAAATATTGCAAACGATTAATGAATTGTCTTTCCTTTATTTAAAGATATCAGATCAAATTTAGAAGAATAAATGATTATGAAAATTGAGTGCCCAATGCTGCTGGTGTCCATGCTTTTGAAAAAAAGAAGTCATGACTCAGAATCCATAGTGAGAAACAAGTCATGAATGAAGATTGAGAAAGAGTGTTTATGTTTGTCTCCACTTAAACTTCTGTAGTAAATGGTTGGGGTCTGGCTCATCCAATGATCAACCCATTGGCAGACTACCAGGTAATCTTTCGTTCAGCCAATACTTTGAGCCTGAAAAAAAAGATGATGATGAAACACATTTTAATCCATCATAAAGATTCTGGTGCATGAAAATACTTTCAAGTCTGTGCAAAGTGAAATTTAAAGGAATAATGAAAATTCAAATGATTATACTTGAACTTGCATTACATGTTAACATGAATTGATACACATTAAAAATGCATGTATATAGTCAATTTTTCAATTTCAGGTTCCAACCTGAAGAATACATGGGAAGAGTAAAACCTTTTTCATTTATATAAATACTTACTAGCTGTAGTCTAGAAGAATGTCCTGAAACCTGAATGTTTAGTCCACCATCAAATGAATTTCAATCACATTATTCTGAAAAATTGAGTAGATAGTCTTCTACTTGCATGCATGTCTTAAAGTCACACTGTCTGGTCATCATAACTTTGCACTCCAATTAATTATACCTTCAAAAATGTTATTTAGTAATTAATAAAGGCATCATCAAATATTTTTGCTTTGGTTATTATTACATTTCTTTGATCAATGACTTGTCTTTTAAATAGCTAGGACTGCAATAGGAAGATAAAACTAAAAAAAATGACACAGCTTAAAATGTTATGTATCATGATATACAAAAATATATAAGGTTTTTGTACCAGGATATATTACTTTTTTGTGTGTACATGTATTGTGTAAGTTACATAGTATTATGTTTCTTGAAATTAATTTTTTTTTTTAACTTTGAACAAAGAAAAATGACTTGTAAATTTTATAGTCAAAATCTCATGATTGAAAGAGAAAAATGAAAGCACTGAGTTTGCTGAGGGACAGAAAAAAAAAATACATGAGAGATTAGAAAAAGATTGTAAAATGTGGACATGAAGTGTGCTAAGCTTAAAAGTTTCATTTTGATTGTTCAATATTTAAAAGACAGTATAATTTGAAGATATTAGACAATAATTTAATTTTGGTTGTAACGCTGTATTTGATTGGATAAAAAATTTACTTTATATCATATAAAATGGGTTGCCTACATCACAATGACTTGTGTCAAAAACATATCAATCTGCCTGATGTTACATTCAAATTTCGTAAAAATAGAAGTCATTTTTTAAGGGCAATCATCTTTTTTTCTTAAGCCAAACAAAAAAATATGTGTGGTTCCGGTTACACTTCCAAAAAAATTAGGGTAGGTAGGTAGGGAATTTTTTTTTTTTTTTTTAAAATAACAAAATGATTTTCTTAATTTTTTCTAAATAATACCTATCACTGCTTTGCAAATGGCATTTAGATGTGGCGTGATAATATACTAGTCAATATTGGTAGGGAACACCTACATGCTAGCTTGCTTTGGATTTAACACTATTGAACACTTGCACTATGTTTTGCAAGGAGGCCGTCATTGCTGAAACTAAAACTTAAACTGGAGCCATTGATGGAAATCGGGGAAAATTCCGGAAAAAATATGAAAATTGCCAAAAAAAAGTTTAGGGTCGGGGGTATAAAATAGGGAAGGTGGGGTAACCGGAACCACACATATTTTTTTATTTGGCCTTACACCAAATGAATGAAAATTAAATTATAAGGAATGAATTTAATAGCTACCCAATTTATATGGTATAAATTGGGTTGGGACAGTTTACCTTTTTTATAAACTGCTTAGCGGTTTATAAAGCGTAAACTGCCCAAACCCAGTTTATACCGTATAAAATGGGTAGCTATTAAATTCATTCCTTAATTATAATAGTCTGACTGGTTTATTATGTAAATCATTTTTGCTTTATAGCCATGATTTCTGATCTGCTACCCTCATCGCTAAATCAAGCTACATAGCTGAATCAAGAGAATGTGCCATACCTGTAAATACAGGGCATCTATTTCATCAAATTTGAAAATGTTCTGAATTTAGAAGTTAAAATTTTTGTTGAATAAAAAAATATTTACATAACTCTCTTTCACAGTAGGTTTCCCGGCAGAAAATATATATTATGCTATGGATACAATTACCATATATTTTTTATTACAATAGAAAAACTATTCTTTCATATGGGTGTTAAAAGATCTCTATATGAATATTGTTGCACTAAACTATAAACAAAAAATTGCATATACCAGTGAATAGAGTTTTGAAAAAAGAAATACTCAGATGACACCCTACAGTGTACTAGGAAACAGATTTTTCAAATTAAGTCCACATTTGAGCAGTATGGGAACTTGGAGACAAAATGAAGCTGCTGCCTGAGAAACACAACACAGCAATTTGGAACACTGAATGTGGCACATAGCATTAATTGGAAAATTGCCTCTGATGTCAATTTTTTTTTTTTTTTGAAAAATGTCTGTATTCAGAATAAATGATTCAGTTTTATCTTAACATTTATACTGATGAAATTATATAGACATGACTTGTTCTTTATTTTTTCCCTTTTTCC